AGAGAGAGAGAGAGAGAGAGAGACAGACAGACAGACAGAAAGACAGAGACAGACAGACAGAGAGAACCAGCCCCCCTCCCCAGCGTCAGAGAATGGGGCATCAGCACCAGCTCCTTTCTTCCTAAACCAGGAAACTACCACCCAAAACAGAACCCTGCCTGAGAAAAGATCAGGCCATGTTTTTCAAAGGGGAAAATAGGGCCTGGAGGCTTAGCTCAGGGGTTAAGAGTGCTTACTGTCCTTGAAGAGGACCCCAATTCAGTTCCCACACCCACATCGGGTGGCTCACACACCCCTGGAGCTGAGTTCCAGGGCATCCAATACTCTCTGGCCTCCACAGGCACCTGCGTGAGCACGAGACATGCGGCTATACATAAAAATAAACAAAAATTTAAAAAGGGTGACATAAGTCTAAATACAGTTTTGCTTCAACTCAATAAAGATGCACAAAATACTAATCCAATTCCTCATCCATGCAAGGGGAGGAAATGGGTGAGGGACAAGTCTGGGCTTGGCACTACATGCTAGTAATTCCTGTACCTGGGAAACGGAGGCAGGATGATCAGGAGCTCAAAGCCAGCCTCAATACACAGTGAATTTGAAGTAAGCCTGGGCTACATGAGGCTTTGTCTGAAACAAAACAAAATAAAAAAAGAACAACAAAATAGCCTGAGAGGGGGAGGTTTGGGCAAAAGGAGTAGGAATATGAATTTTACTTATTAACTTTTATAATCTTTGACCCATTATTTAAACAAAACAAGAGCTTTAAAAGGAGAGTTGGGGACTAGCTTGAGATTCAATAGCAGTGGGCAATGTGCCAAGGAATATGTGCGTGCGTGCGTGCGTGTGTGTGTGTGTGTGTGTGTGTGTGTGTGTGTGTGGTGTGTGTTCAAGGCAGGGTTTCTCTATCTAACAGCTCTGGCTATCCTGGAACTCACAGAGATCTGCCTGCCTCTGCCTTGTGAGTTCTGGAGTTAAAGGCATGGGCTACCACCAACTGACTCCAGCCCCATTTTTATTTATTTAGTTGTACTTTATGGGTAGGAGTGTCTCTGAATGTAACTGCACCACCTGTGTGCAGTTTTGTTTTTGTTTTTGTTTTCGAGACAGGGTTTCTCTGTGGCTTTGGAGGCTGTCCTGGAACTCGCTCTGTAGACCAACCAGGCTGGTCTCGGACTCACAGAGATCCGCCTGCCTCTGCCTCCTGAGTGCTGGGATTAAAGGTGTGCGCCACCAATGCCCGGCCACTGAGGGCTTGAGGCAAGAGGGATGCCCAACAGGTAAAAAAGAATTTTTAAAAAAGAATTATTTTTAAATTATGCATAAGTGTGTTTCTCTATGTTGTGGGTAATGGACACACAAGTGCTGGTGCCCACAGAAGCCAGAAGATGGCGTTGGATGCCTTGGAGCTGAAGTTACAGTCAGTGGTGAGCTGTCCAATGTGGATGCTGGGAACCAAACGTGGGTGCTCCACAAACCCTTTCCAAGCATTTTGGAAAATCCTGTGTATATGTGAGCCTGATGGACAGTCATAGGACCATGAACGGTTCTAAGATGCCCTTCGATAACGAAACTCACATGACATCTCTCAGCTTTGCTTCATCTATAGACGTGGCACACATGGGCCCAAATAACTGTATATCAGTTGGCAGTTAAAATAGTTCTCAAGTCTCTGAAAATCTTGGAAGATTTAGAAGTTCCCCCCCCCCCCCAAGGAGCCAGAGAGGCTCATGATTCACACAGCTCTCCACCCCTCCGTTTCAAAGAGTCTCAGCAACTCCCTTGTCTCCCTGGGAGGTTCCCAAGCAAACAGTGAGGTCAGTGGACATCCTATCCCTTTCAATTCTGGCTTACAGATTTTTTTTTTTGTTGTTGTTCCAGGGAGCATGTTTACGCCCTCTTTTTATCCGGAAACTAGAGTTCGTTTCTCTGAGTCCTGTATGCTACCCATGCTAGCATACTTCCCTCCCTCCTGACCGTTTATCTTTTTTTTTTTTTTTTTTTGGTTTTTCAAGATAGGGTTTCTCTGAGTAGCTTTGGAACCTGTCCTGGAACTATTTTATAGACCAGGCTAGCCTGGAGCTCACAGAGATCCACCTGCTTCTGCCTCCGGAGTGCTGGGATTAAAGGCATGCGCCACCAATGCCCAGCCAGAAATTTATTTATTTTTGAGACAAGTTTGCACAGTGTAGTCCTGATTGGAACAGACTATGTAGAATGGACTGGCCTTGAACTCACAGAGATCCGCTTGCCTCTGCCTACCGAATCTTGGGACTAAAGGGTCTACTTATTTTGTGTGTCACCCTACCTGGCCCCGATCTCTTCATTTACAAAGGGTAGACCGGGAAGCAGGTATCACTTGGGTGGGGAGGGCCCGTGGATGCCTTTATCGCTTCTTGACTTCTCATCCTCATTCCCCAGAGAAACACTGACTCATTGTTATGGACAAATGTGGTTGCCTGGAAAAAATTACTTTTAAACTGTGTCTCTTAAGATTTTTCCAGTCCTTTTCGCCTCATCATTATCATGCAACTTAAAGAAAAGAAAAACTCTAAGCAGGCAGGAAGGTAGGAGCCAAGGAGATCATCTTTGCACTAAGAGTCAGCAGAGCTGTAAGTCTGAAACTAAGAAATAACGTGAAAACCTATATTTTTTGTCTTTCTTACTCTCTTTGCTTTGAGGTTTTTCAAGTTTCAAGTTTTGTTAGAAGTGAGGGGACAAAAGCACATCTCCATGTCACCCTCAGCCATTTGAGGAGCTCCTTTAAAAAATGAAGAAATGTGGTGCCATCTTTATTTCTTTGTGTGTGTGTGTGTGTGTGTGTGTGTGTGTGAGCATGTGTGTGTGAGCATGT